ACTGATCCCACTGGCTAAAGCCCTTTGAGGAAGGATATGTGTGTTAGCAGCAAATTCAGTAAATGCACAGTGCTGTTTTATATGGAATCAAACATATTCTGACATGTGACACTCAGGTAATAAATGCATTTAAATGATGTAGGTCTAGATCTCTGCACAGATCTCTGTGGAAGCAGGCGAAACATGTAAGTAAATGTGGAAACTTTTGATTAGCTGTATTTATTTCTACAGAAAGTTGGAATAATCGTATAACTGTTGTGGTTTGGAAGCTCTGCACACTGACTTACCTGCATTAACACAAACCCTCATCTGCAACAACATTATACAAAAAAGCCTCCTCTTCATTTATTTTAAATGGACTGTGACACAGTGAGGACTTTGAGGCAGATTCTTAGACAGACAAAGACATGGACGTCAAACCGAGCAAAGATTTTTACTGACATGCAATTCATTATCAGTGCACTGATCTGACAAATCAAATATGTAAGAAGACACAAAGAGGGGACTTTGTAGCAGCAATGATGTAATGCTGCACTAACTCACATATGGACAGTAATAAACACCGTTTATCTAAAACTTTTAACTTTATGCCATTGTTTAACTTTTAGAGAAACGCAAGTGCAAGTACACCACTGCAGGTAATCTAGGTCTTAATAAGTGCCAAGTAAATAAACTTGCTACAGGTCTAGATATGTCCATGCTGCCACGACAGTGAGAATTAATGACATCGTAAATACTCGAGCTGCTATTTAACAATAGAGCAGTTTTTCTCGAAGTTTTTCTAGAAGCAGAACAGCAGCAGTGACACGGTGAAAAAAAAAAGAATTTCAGTGAGTCAGTCCCAAAAGACTGCCATGTTATTTCCCTTTATTTAACCAGGAAGTCCCACTGAGATCAAATCACGTTACAAGGGCTAGCCAAAGGAGAAGCCATACTATGTCAAAGTATTAAAAAAGTACAGCAAATACAACACAAAATACAGGATCTACAAATAGCCACAACAAAACAACACTACTGTCCTCTCAAGAAAATAATCATGCCACACATTACCACAGTCCTCATTACACTTTTACATCCAGCAGTACATGTTTAGAGCAAAGTGTTTAAGGGCTTCCTGAAAATTATTCCATGTCCAAGGTCTGTATGAAAATGCCTCCAAACAGCACATTGAAAGCAGCTGTTTGGAGTAAACAGCTGGAAACTGTTGGAACTGCAACAGAGAAGGTTGCAAAGGTAAACTTTATGTAGCAGTGACGCAGAGACCTGGCATGTGTAAAAAAAAGCAGCGATGCATTATACACTGAATAAAGACTGAATGTTTACCATCATAACCAAGCACAGGCACAAAGCTGGTTCGACGTGGTTTTTCTTAGAGAAAAAATAAAACAATATGAAAACATTCAACTTTACTGAGATTTTGACATCGGTACCTAATATTCTAATTTTTATCTGCCATACAGGGCAGAGGGTTTTTTTTATATAAGCTGGCCCTTTAAGTGTTTGAAGACTTTTTTATTATGGAAAGTGAGGTATGTGAGACAGTTTGTACAGTACTGGGTAATATTTATTTGCCAGACATTCAGTACGCGCTATTTAGTATATGCTATTTTTCATGGGAGAGAACTTCCCCTAGTGCACACACATTCATCTCTCTTTCTGTATGAAATTGATTAAAGTTATGCCTGATTGAAGGTGTAGCCATAGGTTGGTGCCAGTACAGGCAGCTATCTGCAAGATGTCTTGATGCATGCTCAATCATCGATCAAACGCTACGTCCAGATGAACAGAATCAACCTTTTGGGACAATCTGCAAACTTAAGTGAGTCACCTCATTGTGCCAGTCTCCTTTGCTTTTTGGTTTAGGTGAGTGAAATGCTATTATTGTTATTATTATTATTAGTTATGACTAATTAGCAAGCATAATGCGATCTAATGGATGGTTTTTTACTTTATTTTCCATCCATTCTCTTCTGCTTATCAGGGTTGCAGGGGTGGGGGATGTTTGGGGCACCCTGGAAAGGTCATGAGTCTGTCACTGGGCTATCACATAGAGACAGACAACAATTCGCACCGATGGGCAATCAGAATCACCAATTAACCAAATCGCACTAAATGCATGCCTTTGGACTGTGGGAGAAAGGCGCAGCACCTGGAGAGAACCCACAGAACATGAGAACATACAAACTCCACACAGACAGGCCACGGCAGAAGGTGGAGTCGAACTCAAGACCTTGCTGAGAGGCCTCAGTTTACCACTGTGCCACCTCGCTGTCCTTATTCTTTTTTTTTAGTGTTACTTATTCTTCAAGAGTCCACAAACCAATAGCTGACTTAAGAAGGGCCGTGCCCATCTTTTTTATACAGTCTTTGCTCCAAACACATGACCCTATTTTAAATGTAATAGAGACATTTGCTACTAATAAAGTGGAAATTTGTAAACAACAGAGCGCCACATGTACAAAAAAAAAAATCCAAAATATATAAAATGTGTGGAAAAAAAAAAATCGTATAGTGAAACCAAAGACTAAAACTCAATGTGATGTTTTTGAAATGTTACACATGGCACCTGAAAACAATACCTGGTGTCATTTTTTCTTGCTGTTTACTGCTGTTACAGTGCTGACAGTTACCATTAGCTTCAAAACAAAGAATAGATGAGACTGGATGACGCTGATGGTGTCACAGCTTGACAGGTTTTCTAGCCTGGACTGAAAGGCTGATATCAGTGACTGTGTTTCTTTAAAGAAGGGGGGTATTAGAAGGAGGCAGCGCAGGGTTGTAGATGAGGCCAACCTTCGCCCAAGGCCTTGCTCAGGTGAGGACATGTCAAGGAAATCTTGAGCTGGAGCTAGATTTCTTCACGGCAGAGCCACACAGGCCCCCAGGGGCCACTCTCACTTCATTTTAACATCATTCACTTTCATCCGTCCAGGCGAGCGAGATGATGGAGGCTGTTCCAGCCAACTGTCCGAACAGGATTTGGGAGAAGTGCAAGTCAATGAGGAAGAGGCGATAATAGTGAGAGCGATACACGGAGGGTTCAGGAATTATTTTTGCTGGTGCAGATTGCTTTAAATCAGAATATTGCAATAACTATGGAAAGTTCATCCATTATAGGCACAGAAACAGCAGTCTCTAAAGCTCTTTCATTAACTCCACTAAATTCTTGGTTGTTAAAATATTGCCTGGGTGGCGGTGACTCAGATGGCAAAGCGGGTCGTCTATTATCTGATCCCTGGCACAGACACATGCCGAAGGCGCCTCGCATGGCAGCTCTGCCACCTTTGGTGTGTGAGTGAGTGTGAATGAGAAACAAACTGCAAACACATTTACAGTAATTACACAAACAAAAATGTAAACGTGATTCTGATTTTAGGGACAGTATGTATTTTGAGGTATTTCCACAGCCATACTCTGTCCATCATCTGCTACACTGTGGCAGTTATTTGAGTTATTAATAAGTAGTAACTTAATAGGTAAATGTTTAAACAATTACTTGAAAAAAGCTGATAAATAGTTCTGATACAATCTGCATATATGACATTTTATCCTGTGTTACATGTTTGTTTATGATAACGAAATGTTTCTCAGTTTGCCTTCATCTAGCAACGACCTCCAACTTGCACTCGGGAATTTGTGGCCAAGACTAAAGAAGCTGAAAACGGTGGATGAGAGTTCAAGGAGGAGTTCTGTCAATTTACTGGTCAGACTATGTTCCTGTAGAGCTGTTACTCCTCCACATTGAAAGAAGCCAGTTCAGGTAGTTTAGGCATCTTACCAGGACGCCTCCTGGACACCTGGTAGGTGAGGTGTTTTAGCATATCCAACATAAAGAAAACCCCAGGCATGACCTGGGACATGCTGCAGAGATAAAGCTTCTTGGTTGCTTGGAAATGAGTCATTGTGCTGTCAGAACAGCTGGAGAAGCTGGAGAAGGTGGCTGCAGCAAGGGAGGTGTGGCCATCTCTGCTTAGACTGCTGCCTCCATGACCCGGGCTGTCATGGAGACCATCATCTATCCATCCATGGATAGATGGATGACGAAATAATGGCTCTGTTTTATGATACATATTTTGATTGATGATTAGTGCACACGTTCTCTCTCACAGGGTGAAAAGCCTGCCATTTAACCAAACCTGCTGCAGTGTCAGCAACTCACATGGTGTTGGTTTAGTGATATTTGTGTCTCACTTAATGTTTTTATGAACTAAAACCATTGCTTTTTACAAATTTCACAATTTTGGGGGGGCTATACCAAAAACAACTATAAAGGTGAAACTTAATAGGGGATAAAGAGGAAGCAACCTATGGGCTCTATGGTGCCTCCAAGTGTCATGAACATCAGTAAAAACTTAAAAAAAACAGTCAAAACATTTATTTTTTCTTGAAAGTATTATTTTTAAATTTGATTGTGAGTCAACATCTTTTTTTATATGTTACAAAACAGGTTTGTTTCTTTCTATTTTTACCCCTAAAGTTAGGCTTTGTTATTAAATGTAATCGTTAATATTTGTTAACATACAGGACAAGGGGTGGTGTGTGTGTGTGTGTGTGTGTGTGTGAGAGAGATTGGGTGCTATATAAATACAATTACATTGAGAATTGAATCACCTTTTGACCAAATATGAGGCTAAAATGAATTTCAATAATGATCGGTGTGGATGAATAATTTTTCCAAAAAAATTTGAAAGCAACAGAAAGGGAAGAAAATTAAAATCGAAAGTTGTTTTTTCTCTTTAATATTTTCTTTCCTCATCTTATCTTTCCTATTATAATCTGTGCTTTTGAGCTGAGTGGCCAAAACACCAAAGTGCCCCCCCCCACCCCACAAAAAACCCCCCCCAAAAAACAAAAACCCACCCTATTGTTGTGTTTACCTTTACACAGATGTCTATCAAAGTCCGCAGTAACTATTTCGACCTGATCTGGTCTGCTGAGGCTGGAGTGCAAAACAGGATAATCAGGAGGATAATCTCAGTTATTAATAGGATGGAAAAAATATGATTTATTCACCAATTGTTTGAAGACTCTGAAACAAAACAAAGGCAGGCCAACGTAGGTAGGGAATTATTATATACACATGTACATAATAAAACTGGGATCAGCGATGTGACTTGTTTTCGGCTCAGTCTGTTGGTCAGCCGTCATGTTGTTTGACTTCACCGTGTTGATCTGAGGTGCTTTTGGTGGATTTGGAGGAAAAATCCTGGAATTACATGGATTCCACCATACATGCTAAAAAAATAAATAATACATGCTGCAAAAAAACAAAGTAAAATTCACTTAGGAAAGATCAACAAAGTATCAGCACTCTTCACCACACACTTCAGATGGTAGCACACAACATCCTGCCAACCTCATGAATAAATTATTCCACTCCTCACTGCCAAACGGTGCCACAATGAGCTAGACTGTATTTTTGCCATTTAAATTTCGGAGCCCATTTTCATGCAAATGGGAAATTTATTGTCACAAACCATGTAACGCTGGCAGTAACGCCTTATCTTAATGAATATCAAGTGCGGCTGTATTTCCCTGCTGCAATAGCTCACTAATCAAGTTTTAGTTGGGATGTGATTCATAAAGGGACGATTCATGGCCTCTCGACTTACACTCAGACTCTGCGGCCTATACGACTCCGTTATAAGGATTGATGAAGTCATCCATCAGATTGATCGCCAGCATTCTACCAAATGAAAATGATTATCAAATTACTGTGGCCGAGGCGTTAAAAGACCCCTGACTCGTAAAACTTGGAAGTTAGAGCTTCTCTGAACCCACTCAATTAAAAAGTAAGAGGTAATCGCTTATACATGCTGTTAGTTTGAGTTATGGTGGTTAGTGCGGTCTCTCTCTGCTGGTGCTCCCGAGTCTATTGTGCAATTACTTAAGAAATGATACATTAAACCTCTGAAGGTACCAAAGGTTTAAGTTCAGGTGACCTTTAAAAGTGCAGTAAAGTTAAATAGAAAGTTGGACTGTACCGTTTTCTTTTTTTTCCCTATTAAAACTGCTCGAATGTTGCTGTGAGACATAATCCTCTTCCTCCACTGTCTGTAGCGTGACATGAATTCTTTGTCTGTAAGCCAAATATTGATATTAATCAAAACCTGGAAATGAGTTAAGCCTCTTTACTTGTTTATCGGTTTGTTTTTTGACCTTTCACACCGGGGTGAGAAACCACTCTAGAGTAGGCCGGCTCTTGCCTTCTGATTGAAGTATTAATTTGTCTGCAATATGTGCAAGCTGCAACATCACTGTACAGTTTAACAAAGTATTCAGGATGTACACAACAGTGGCAGAGGAACACACAGGAAGTGTCTGACTTTCACTAACACAGGATATCTCTTATATGCAAAAAGAGATTAAATATGACAAGTAGATCTGGTTTACTCATTTTATTTATAGTGACAGTGCTCGTGTCATTTAAAATTTTCTTACGAATTAGCCTGTGTGATTGATTCGGGTGAAACTCAAATTCACATTCACACTTACAGCCAATTGAACTAACGAGCAACTGGTTTTTGTTCTGTGGGAGCTGGAGCACCTGTATAAAACCAACTTAAGAGATGGAAAAAACACAAAACAGAAAGGCAGGTTCAAATCTGCCATCTTCCTTGTTGTTAGGTGATGGTGCAAACCACTGCCACCCACTAATGTACTGGAGAAAAAAAGTTTCTGTACCATAAATTACTAAACTGTTACAAAATGAATTCAATATTTTAAGTGTTGCAGTAAGAAATGAAAAATCATCTTGTGAACGACTGATAAAGCATTTCTATATCCGATGAAGTTTTTTCAAACACTAAATACTAATCTTCTCTCCGTATATATGCTGGTAAATTTACTGTAAAGACCATCTTGGGGGGTTGCACATAGAAAACAAAAAAGGCCATATGACTATTTTCCCACAATACTTTTAGTACCCTTTATGAAATATCAAACCCATCTTTAGAAATGACCATAATTTTCTTATTTTAACTGCACACCTGCAAGATTTAATCATTGCACACATAGTTGTGCTAATATCGAGTAAACAAAATCTTTCAACAGATGAACAGAGACAAATTTACACGTGCCACAGTACTCCAAATACCTTTATTGGGTTTTACCACCATGAAACAAAGTGAAAACAGCACCACTCATCCTCCCTTCTTCTTGTGTACCCGTATCCTACCTTCATTAATATAATCCAGATTTACAGTTAACTGTTAGTCCACTTCTCTAAATCTCAACATTTCCAGATTAAACTAATTCATTTAAAAATACAATCAGGGAAACACATAATGAAATGTCATAGTCCAATAAGAAGACAACTGCTTTTGTCCTTAATGTGTTTTTACGTTCTCAGACTAGACTTGTGGCTGATATTATATGAAAACCATAGAAAGAGGAATGAAATAAAAAAGTAAAATATTAGATTTGAATGTAAAACACTATTATGCTTTTATTTACTGTATACACTGAGCACCCGCTCCATATTTCTAATGCTGGAGATGTTATGTTGCTATAGCAGTGCATGGGAACCCCCTCAGCTTGGAACGAGATACTTTAGAGAAAGGTGTTCAGGTACTGCGGGAGGAAAAACAAAAACATCCACTCTCACTGATGCAAACTAAGCTCTTAACTCCTGTTTTTGGTTAACAATCAAACTCATCTTGCTGCAGAGTGGAATACCTCACCTTCTGTCAACAAACAGTTTTTTTCTTTCTAAAATATGAGCTTTAGTGCTAACAAAGAGGATGATAGACGCACATGTAATACTCTCACTTTCTGGGAGGAGAATGACAACAACAGTAATTCCCTGAAGGCTTTTGTCCCTTTGTTTTTGACAGCTACTTCAATTACCACCATATGACACTAGGGACAAGGTGACAAACATGTTGTTGTCTGTGTGCACATGAAATTGTTTGTTTGCATTTACAAACCGCGAGGTTTAGCTAATACCTCGCAGACTTTGCTAAATTACACAGTTTGAGAGGTATCAATCAGCAGCCCTGCCTACTACCTTTTCTGCAGTGGACCAATAGGAAAGCGGGGAGCGAGCACCAGCCTCCACCTTTCTCCCCTTCACTCTCACCATCTCCCTGTCCTTTTCTCCCCTCATTCACTGAGGATCAAGCCTCCATAATCCCTGGATTTTATATCCACCAAAACAGCTTGGGCCCATCAGCAAATTGCGATGGCATATGGTATAGGTTTATGATTCATCTGGCACATGCATAGCAATGAGAGCCTCATCATCCGTGGGCAAACACCGGGAAAATATCGTAATGTTAAACGATGCCAGCCACGGAGAAAAGTGGCACCGGGCATGTGGGAGGCCTGTGTTTGTTCGGCCCAGCGAGTGCAGCAGCTGAGGTTGTAAACAGCGTTTCAGATCTGCCCTCCTTCCGCAGTCTGGCCTAGATTAGGGCCTGCTGGGAGTGGGAGCTCCGAGCAGACCTCATCTCCAGGGGGAGAAGAATGGAGAAACAGAACATCAGCAAAACTCTACTATTTAAACACCAATGTCAGATTTGTTGGGTTTCAGACCAGTGTTTTTAAATTTAATATTAGTTTTGATGAGATGCTCATGGGTATTTTTGCAGCCCCTTTTAATGACATGTACAATACATACATGTGATTAATACCATAACTAATGGCTTCTTATAAGCAACAAAGGATCCAAACACATGCACTTAAAGAAGTCAGATGGTATTTTTGGAAATCTCTTGTTAATACTGTAGCCTGTACAAAAAGCTGGTTTTAGCTACCGGAAGGTTAATCCTTGGTTTTTCTCTTTTGGACCCAAAACATTTTTTCACTGAGCTTGGAGCATAAACGTCTTGGATGGCCTGTACCCCACAGAGGTCCCAAACTGTGAAGGCTTCATCTTCACACTTTGAATCTACTGCAGGTCGCTAAGTTTAAACCACCTTTTTCTGACACATCAAAGTTTTATTCAGTTAAACTGCCATAAAACGTTGATTGTAACGCACTAGGAGTGAGATCCAGCCAACACACCTCTCTGCAGGATAACGTTTCACTGTGCTATAACCGTATTTTTCTTGAGCTCCCTGCATTCATACACATACAGTTTCTATTTTGATCCATTCAAAATGAGAGCGAGCTACTTCTGTTGAAATGTAAAATGCAGAAGGTATCACAATAACGCACTTAATGTGCAACTCCAGGCGATTACTAACACCAAATGGAGTCAACAAAACCTTTGACTGGTCAACTGGGATTATTTTTAGTTTCTCCATGTGAGCTCTGACATCTGCAAACTGAAGCTTTCTAATGGCCAGCCGGGGAAACCCCACTAAAAGTCTGTGGGAAAATAATGGGTGCATCTGTGACATCAGTAAACACTTTTCAGTTGTTAACTTCAAATCATATCCACAATAATGGTTTTCATTTTGCAAATAATGGTTGTTGGATCTTTGAACGGAATCAACTCTGATTTCCTTACCTGGATTACCAAACATGGAAGACATTCAGGTCACAATCTTTCCTCTTATGGAGCGTCAAGATCAGTTCGGAGGTAGAAGGAACAAGAACGGGGCAAAAAGTGCCTTTTATGGAGCGCTGATTACTAAAAGCTCAGTATAAAACAATAAAAAGCACAGACCTTGAAACTGGGCAAAGAGGAGAGACGCTAGAAGACAAGCAGAAGACAAAGGGGTATTTACTCAGAGGGCTTATGAAACAAGACACAGGTGGAGAAAATCATCCACTGATGAGCACACAGAAGGGAAAAAACAGGAAGTGAATAAAACAGGGACAACTAACAGATACTAATAGATGAATACTAGATACAAGAAAGAAAGTAACACTAAAAAAGACTAAAAGCTAAAGGAGAGCACATAACACATTTGGTCTCTTCAGTCATTTTATACCTGTCTGCTTGCATATGTGTTGTTGTGTTGGAGCATAATTTATTGTTTATCATGTAGGAAATTAAGCACACTTCTACAAAGCAGGCATGTGTGATATGAGTAAAAAACCCCAGACGTAACAGACTACAGAGAAATAGCAAAGTGAAGCACCACCACTGCTTACCTCGTGCATTTCTTTGTGCAGGAAATCAAAAGCACATTTCACCAAAGTTAACTCAGTTCTCATTAGTATCAGAGCTTCTCACTGCTTGCTCACCCACAGACATAATCCACTACATTAGCACCATTTCCAAACATCTGCTGGAGAAGTCAGAGGCGATCTGCTGCCTCTTCTGCTCATGCCTCTTTGGAAATGTGACATGATTACATACAAACACCTCCAGCCAATGTTCCCCTCTGCCTTCATTAAAGTGCAACGCAGAGCGCTGCTGGCAAGGTGACTCGACCCGGGTCTGCTGCAGCTCCACCCCCATCGGTTCAGCCCAGGCTCCCAGAGCCCCACGCGATTGGCTCAGAGGGCCATCCATCAGTGCGGGTAGTGGGTCAGTATGGGTTCAGACGTGGAGCAGAAGCGACCGCGGCTGCCTGCGTGGATCTTCTGCTCAAAGAAGACCTGCCATGAGCTGACAGCCAGTATGTTGGAGGTTTATCATTATCAGGCTCCAGACGGCCTGCCGACCCCTCCGGCCGGACAGGTGATCTCTCCCTGGCCGCCTGACTCAACATATGCCCCCGTGGAGCTTCAACACACATATTATGCCATCATTATTTCATACCTAGCAGGAGCTTCACGTAGCACAGCCCAAATGTAGGTGCAAATGCCGGCTACTGTGAAAAGAGCTTTTTCCCCCGCATAAGTAGAAATAGGTTGGAGAGGGAAACAAAGCACAGAAATGGCATCCGTAACCTTTTGCATGTGTTGGCCATCTGCTCATTTTAGAACAGCTTCAAAAACACTTCACACAAGCGATTTCAAAAAGCAACACAAGATTTTTGTCATGTCGCTCACCACTGCCAGAGTCTTAGCTTAATATTTATCACGTTTGCAAACTGATCATAGAGATTTACTTTAAACACACACTCTAAGCACACGCAGACTCCACAGGAACTCCTGCTTATCATGTCACTTCACCTGAGTGGTAAATGGAAAGGTTTTCTTAACTGTAGCCAATGAAATGGCAAATGGCATTAAAATGTTTGTTACTTCAAGACTTTTATAAAGAAATTTCCTGTATCTACACTAAATTAAAATGGCCTTTTAATGTATAAACATGAACCACTTTACAAGAACTTAGAGTTCGTAGACCTCTACTTGACTAATCTTTGTTTAAAGATGGTACATATGTTAATTTAAATGAATTTAACAGTTAGAACTTGTTTTTTGTACTAGTATACTTTAAGGGTTGATATGCATTAAGTCCTGTTTTGATTAGACAGTTAAACATTAACAGGGCTGCATGTGTGTTAAACTATTTTGGCAACTGAAATGTTATGTCAAATACAAGATGGTATTTTTTTAAACCATTTTTTCACACATGATGCAAAATGATGCAAAACACTCTGAAACCACAGACTATAGACTGATTAGATTAGAACTTTATTAATCCCTCGGGTGGGTTCCTCCGGGAAATTCAGTTATAGAACTCATATAGAACTTAAATAAGAAAAATAGACAAAACCAACTTGATATTACCCACTGGTGTACGGAGTCCTGTTTTTAAACCTGATTTTATTTTAACATTTTGTCCGTTTTGGAGCCTCAGGCTATTTAAATAAAAATGCTGTTAGCTAACTTGGCTAACTTGCTGACTTAGCTTGTTAGCATTAGCAAGGAACTTCCAAAGGACACTGAATGTTTAATAAAGATGGACATAGCCACTGTGATAGCCTTATCTTTTGTGAAGCTACGTGAGGGACCTGACTGAAAACCAACGTGCCACCAGAGCTCATTTTTGGATGTATTTTGTCCGCCTGGGAACAATCGGCTGGTTTACAGCTAATAATTGACTGTATATGAAATAAATGCCCTCACCATTTTGGAGTTTTGTAATTAAATGACCGAGGGTAGGGTCGACTGTACAAAAACAGTAAGACTGCAGGCTCATGGCGTAATTGTCAATCACATTTCCTGTTTAATTGTCCTTTCTGACTCTAATGTAAACTTAACATGATGTTATATCCGATAAGACCCCAGACATGAAGGGAGCAGAAGCGTTGTTTTCCTGTAGACTTCTGTTGAATCAGACTTCTGCCAAGTGCCCCCCAAACATTTCTGCAATTTAGTTCAATGTATACAGTGCCGATATGTTTTATATTCTAAGGTATAGAACAATACAGAGAAATCAGATGACCCTGTATGAGCAAGCATTTGGCGACAGTGAGAACAAAAACCTCCCTTTTAACAGGAAGAAATCTCCAGCAGAACCAGGCTCATGGAGGGGCAGCCATTCACCTTGACCAGATGGGGGTGAGAAGCACTTTCTATACCAGGGGTGGGCAACTCCAGGTCTCACGGCCCGGTGTCCTGCAGGGTCCTTGATCCAACACAGCTGATTCAAATGGCTAAATGACCTCCAAAACATGTCTTGAAGTTCTCCAGAGGCCTAGTAATGAACTAATCATGTGATTTAGGTGTGTAGACCCAGGGTGAGATCTAATACCTGCAGGACTGAGGAATGTGCTATTAGTGCATGGGAAGCCATATATGACAAATAGTTGCATTGAAATATTCCAAAATGCATCAAACACAAACAAGATGTAACTGAAACTAGGGTAGGTAAAGCAAATGGCACCCACCTGTAGCTGAAAGTGACTATTTATGTAGTAATGCACAGATTTAGGCCTTTCTAATGTTCAAATGGCTTATTTATTAAAAACTAAACAAAACAAAAGTCAAACGCACAATCAGAAAGCATTTTATCACGGGTACCTACGTGAAATGATGTTTTTGGCACTTTGTTTGTCAGCCCTGGAGCTTTTGTCTTGATGGATAACATCATTTAAGAGCAGAACTGAGTCACTGTAGTTGCACCTTCCATCTCAGTTTTCCACATTCACTTAAAGCCACTGGAAAATCACACAACGTATTTTCTTCTCTTCCGTCACATTAAAGCTTTATGACTTGCATTACATATATGTGGCTTTCCCCTACTTTGCTGTTCTCTTGAAATAAATGTACACCATTACCAACACTCTAATCATCTTACAGGAGTCCTAAATCTTTATCAGCATATATAGTATATTGGGCTTAAAAATTCACAGCAAGCTCACAGGAAAGAGCATCAAGATAAAGCTCTGAAATCCCAAACCGTCAAGCTCTCTTAATCCTCCCACCTGCATTTTCCATAGCCGTCAGTGAACAGCAGCCCTCCATATCGCCTGAGAAGGGGATTTAGTTGTAATGCTCTCGGAAATACAATGCATAAAATCAATTGTCAACTCTAACAAGCTGTTCTTAGGGCGGATGGACGGCCCTCTGGATCTGACAGGGTCTGGGCTCGGGCTTTGAAAGGTTAGCGGCTGTGCAGCGCTGCAGCATTTGATCCCACAGTTACCCGAATTTCAGAGACAACTGTGCAAATCTGGATAACCTGGGAAGCCAGACGGGCTTTCGGGGGGCAACAGCTGCTTAAGTCCATTCGCTGCCTGCCAGAGAAACTTTATCAGGGGAAGTGGAGGTTGAAATTTTATGGCAGCTAAGCCCCCTCCATCAAATTGTGAAAACAGAACCTTGTGGCACAGATCAGGATGGATTTAGGAGTTTGCTTGCTGTTTTCTTGGCTGCAAGCGCTAATATAAAAATAGAAGAATGCAAAGACCTTCGGATGCCGCTGTCCTCATGTGCCACTTTTATTCCAAGCACGATGTTAGTTTCCATCTGAAATACAATAGTGAATTGCAGGCAGACGCCGCTACAGTGGAAGGACGTGAATTTCTCCAGTGTTCAGTCAGAAAATTACCACCAAAATTCACTTCTCCTCTACGGCGCTTCATGTTTCTGTTTTGTAACGCATTTGTGAATTTCTTTCCTGCTAAAATGAAGAATATGTGCAGCATCTAAGCTTCTTTAAACACACGACATCTTTTGGGTAAATCGGCTGCTTTATTCTCCTCTCAGATGTCTTTTCATCTCCAAACTATTTTGTTTGTTCTAGTATAGCAGTGTGTTCATATGCACCGAGTCCATTTACATAGCACACGATGTATAAGCTTGAATGACAGCATGGTATATAAAGCGGCTCCAGTGAAGTAAAGGCAATAAAGCAGATGAGTGAAAAATGTGTGAAGAGTGTTTTTGGAAGACAAACTCTGCATCGCTGCAGTTGCATTTTGTTTTTTCTTCTTCTTCTTTTCATTTATGTGTTTTATTGTTTGTATTTAAGACAGATCAATGGCTACACAGCCTTCATAATGATAAAAAAAGGCTTTTTAGGTCTTGTTGGTAGCTCTGATGACGGCTCAATTTTCCCAGAAGGATAGCCAACTCGATCGTTGGACTTATTTCATCTCAAGTGATTTTTTTTTACCCCTTCTGTGTGAAGACATTCAGCTGGTGTTTGCTAGAAACTCGGACTCACATTTTTATGTGATCTTGCACAGCGTTCATTACTGATGAACACAAACCGAGAAAAAAAAGAATAAAGGAGGAAATTCATCATGCAAAATGCAGGAAGAAGGAAAAAAAACTTTATAAATTAACAAAATGAAACTGCATCGTGTTTGAAACAGCAGCAGTGTTCATCCAGTTAGAGCGAGGCTGAGGTAGAACACGTGTTTTGTAATATCCTACAAATTAATTTGCTAGTATTAAAAAAAACAATTAAAATGCAAAAATGTAATTTTGATCATCACCACATCTTTACCTGCAGTTAGATTAGTCATGCCTGCCAGTTTCTACTTCTGTAGTTATTATCTTTTAATTCATTCCTTTATTTCAGTGTGTTTTATATAAATATCTGATGTTTGCAGTTTAAAATCAGAGGCCAGCTTCTACATAAACCTACCCTGTGGAGGAAGTCGTCATACACCAGACTTCAGTCTAGAAATGTCAACTTTTATGGGCTGAATACTAAAGTCAGATTATCACCAAGTGCTTCCTGCAGCCTGCTCTGTTTAAAACAACCCCGCGTGTAGCTGCCGTCCTAAGCACAACGGTAAACAGAGCAGACGAGCTGATATTTCACTAAAGCTGTTTGTAGAGTTGTGCGATTTCATTTTTAGGAAAAAGATGATTTCTAATGTCTCTGTTTTCTAAAAGCTAAGTGAAGGGGCGAGAGTCTTCTCATGATTTAGTTCATTATTGAATTATGCTGCATGTAGAGGTTTTTTTCTTTAAAAGAAAATCTTTTTGACTAATCAACAATTAAAGGCCATAAGTGAGTTTTTCTTCAGTGTCTTTGTAAAAATTGTCAGATTTCAGTTACTTGAAAGGAAATGATCAGACTGTGACTCCTATTTTATTGCTGTCAATATGTCAATGCATTTGTGTGTGTTGTGATTATATAACTGGGGACGTTTTGAATACTTTTAATTTTAACGATTGATTAGTCAGTTATTCAGAAAACATTAATTCCCCAGTGGCATCATCTTCCATCTACTTATTTTTTCTGAACACTGAAACTGCTTTTACTTTAATTCCTTTGTGTGGGATCAACAAAGTTAATCTGATCTCATAGGCAGAAGACAAAAAATCGCTCTATAAGGATATAATAAATAATTACAATTAAATTAAATCAGTGTTAATTAGTCTTAATCCTGTGTTTTTGTTTCAGAGGAAAAAGAAATCGAGACTCTTTAAAGATCTCGTTCGACTGTTAGATGATGATCACTGCTACATTTATAAATTCAGTAAACAGCGTGCGGGTCTGTTCAGTACTTTAACAACACTCTGCTGACTTTTACTTTTGATAGATTAAAGTAAAAGCTCGATGTGCAGACATGCAGGTTTAAATAAACTGCGCCCCGTTTGTGCCGTTTGAATAGATTCGTTCATCCTCCGTCTCTACATCAAGTTTCATGAAATTTGACTTGTTTTTTTATGATTTTCTAGAAAGAAACAAAACACAAACCAACAACAACACACAAACACAGTTGTTATGACTTTACAACCTCATGTGAACAGCTGAGAGTATTTTGGTTCGACTATTTGTAACGTTAAAAAAAGTTGATTCATTTTTAAAAAAAGGGTTTTTACTAAGAAAATTCTGGTATCTGAAGACAATTTCAGTTTTATGAATAAGTAACATCTTTACTATACTTCAAAACTGACTCGTGGACTGCACAAGATTATTTCTCGATGTTTAAAATACCAGAAAGGACATTCAAAATCAGATTTTGCTGAACAACACTCATGAGTGAAGCATCTAAACTAAGAAAAAAAGTGTTTTCATGACACAACAAATCCTTCCTCAACATGGCGTTGGGGTTATTGTATATACAGCCTACACACACACACACACAAACTGACCCGTACACACACATACACACACCTCAGCTGGCATCTTGTCACAGCATGCAAATGTGGATAAAGCAGAAGGTGTACGAGCGCATATTTTTTACTAAATGGAAGACCTCATTTTTGGGGCGTTGAAGACCTTGAAGGGATTTTGTGTGTGTGTGTGTGTGTGTGTGTGTGTGCCTCCGGTGACTGACTTCACAGGGGGAGAGGCTGCACACTGTCCACTCTGTCCACACACACTCTGTATAATCATGTTCCCTGTCGGGCCCTATAAATCTGTAAGGGCCCAATTAAAGATAGCCTTTAGCATGACCACCCCTACCAGCACACATGTGTTAAAAAGAGAGAAAGAGGAAGAAAAAACACACACACACAAAAACACTGTTCACTTTTTTGTTGAATGTATATTTGATACAACAGACTGCAGAGTGTACAACAGTGACAGAAAAAAATCAGATTAAAAATAAAAACAGTGTAAAACTCAGAAAAGCTTTAAAAACAAAAGAAGATGCAGCGGCTCACACGAATGCGAGTCGAACTTGGTCTTTAAGGTTCTACGTGAATATAAAAAAAAGACTTGAAGATATTAAAATGATAATTTACAATTCTGCACATGAAATGAGCCGATACAGAAAGTTGTGCATGCATATCGAACCGAAGCCGGAATTTGTTAAAAGTGGACAAAAATCAAAATGTGAAGTTTAAAGTTGTTGTAAAGATGTTTTAAAAAAAGTACAAAAATACTTGCATTTATTAAAAATACAGCATTCATTTACAGAGAGGTACAAGCAAATTTGATTTGTTACCTCTAAATGTACAACAACGGCGTATGTGGTGTGGGGAGGGGACGCAGCGGTGACTTGTGACATGCTGTAAGCAGGATGAGTTGTGTTGTGACTGCTATGTAAATATCTCATTAGTTTGGGTTAATAATATTCCCGTGCTCTCGGTCGCTACATAAAGAAGACAAGATCTAAGTGCTAAAATTTCTCCGTCCCCTGCAAGTCCAGAGCTGATGAGCCTATTAAATGTCAGCCTGCAAAATTATGCAAGAGGCTAAAAGCGTTTAAGTCGAACATAAATACCAGCGCACCCCGAGGATTCGATTCGGAATTATTTATGTCCCTCCGATCGGGACGGAGAGGAAACAAAGGAATAATTAGTCCGGCGTGCTGCTCGCCGCCCGTCTCACGCACCCTCGTGCCCACCGAATGCGAGTCGCTCGCCCGTTCCCCCTCAAACTTGATGGTTGTTGAACTTATTTTTAGTGTCATTTGATAAGCTTCCCTGCTTGCACAGAGACATCCCACTGACCCAGCCACTGGTCATTGTCTATACCGCTTCCCGTCAAAGCCGGCACGCTTTGTCAGGTTTCGACTCGAATATCCATTTTGCGTCTGAAGTACGGTATCCAAAGTGACTGGATCATTCGAGCCTTTTTCTTCAGCTGCTGCCCCCTTTCCTCCCCCACAGTGTTTCCGCTCACACTAACATCATTTGGGATTGGCGTCGTGACAGCGCGCTTGAGAAATCCACAATATATTTAAGTACATATCCCTTCCTTTTTGGGTTGGGGCAGAGGAAGGGGAGGGGGACGAAATAATTTCTGGAAATGAACAATACTTATCCGTCCATCGCATCCGCTGCTTTGGGTTTACGTTTTGGACGCGGTGCACCGTCACCGTGGCGCCGTGTCCTCTTTTTCCTGTGAATAACGCGGTAATAGGTCATTCAATGTCAAAAGGCATAAAAAACAGACAGCCAGGTCTTCACAGGCTGCTGCTTGCTGTTGCCTTTAATTATTTTAATTAAACTTTGATATTCCGCTGCTGAGCGAACTAGCGAGTTGCGACGCAGCTCGGGAGCCCTCGGAGAATTGAGACGGAGAGTCGGGCAGTGTCGAGGCAGCCGCATCTATATCTTAAAACTCTTAACTGATAGGCCTGTTTATGGTTTGTGATGTGCTACGCCTTACTGAGCAGGGAGCAGACTGAACTGAAAACAGGGGCAAAAAACACCAAGCGCCATGTCAAGGTCTTAAAGGCATCAATCCCTCAAACCTAGCTGGAGATCACCCCGGTCAGGAGGCTGTCCTGCGGTCGAATAACGCTCTATTAATTTCCTTGTCCCGAGTGCATAATGAAAGGAAGGTGTATTAAAAAAAACCAAAAAACTAAAGGGGCAAAGTCTTGGTGCCTTCCAATACCTTGGGGCATCCTGTCTACAATTTGTCATGCGTGTGCACTTCTCAGTGTTAAAATGACAAGATAAGCCAGTCAAAGGGCAGCCGCCAGGCATCCAGCACAGCCGAAGTTGGAGAGGAGTCGTGATGAGACATTGCCAAAAGGCAGTGGACTTCTGCACTTGCGAGGCCCGCTGGGATTATTCCGACTTCCACGCCAAAGGCAAACAGCCCCTTCCTCCATGTTTTTTTCTTTTTTTTTTTTAAAGATAGCTTCTGTCTGTGTCCACGAAATGAGGATTTTCACAGAAGCTGCAATATGGTCAGAATATGTTAAGCCTTTGGTGCGCATGAAAAGCTAACCGTGTCTGAGTGCTAAGTTCTGGGGCACGCTGCATTCCTGCTTTGGCCTTTTTTATTAAATAAAAAGATTTGGTTTGAGGAAAATCTAGTAAATAACTTAATAAATGAAAATTAGAGCACTATCGTTCTCCCCTTGTGTGATTTTTAAAACTGCAGAGAGGAAAAAGAACCAGAGGGGGAAACTTTGTGCACAAAGTGAAGCAGAGCGAACAGATAGTGGTTTTAGCTGCAGGGCTACACGTCTTTGAGAACAACCTGAAATTCTTCTCTTGTCCACAGCAATCAGCACATGCTGGTTTTCACACAGTAGTTCTTCTTCTTCTGTTTTACGCGTGCTGCACACGGCTGAAATTAACACACCGGCCCTGAAAATGACACACACACACACCGAGAGGATTAAAACTTTAGTAATAAACGTCCACTTTGCATTTTACTGCAGTTTTTCAAGCAAATTACACATTTTTTTTTAAAATGTCTTAATATTAAATAAAATGATTTGCATTTGATTTTGAATTTGCAGAATTTGAAAACATGTATTCCTGTGGGAGATATTTCTATACATATTATATATTCTTTAAATTGGTAAAAGGAAAAGTATAATTCAGACAGCAAAACAAAGCAATCAATATTGCGATTATATTACAAAATACTGATATAGGTCTCACAAAACAATCCCCTTCCCCACGCACAAAAAAAAACAAAACAAAAAACCAAACTGAAGAAGATTTTCATAAACACACACAGAGCGCGTGTAAACACACCGGGATGGATATTCAGAATAAATCAAATGAAACAAAATCTACACCGAGCTGAAATCTTTGTCTCAGCTTCAATCAAACGAAGAATCAACTGGTGACCCTGCAGCAGTGCTTTAAAAATAAAGTAAGCTCAAAATAAAAGAGATCTCAGTCGTCCCTGTGCTTTGTTTTATCTTGTGTGTTTGTAGCTTTGCCTGAGCCTCTCTGTGCAGCAGCGCCCTGCTCACTAACAGTAGGCTGACTGGCACCAAGAGGGAGCTCTCGCACAGCGAATCCCCAGCAGCCCGTCAGCCTCCATCCTCACATCTCTGCCTGCGTGAGCCTCCTCTCTCTCTCTCTCTCTCTGTGTTTCCTTTAGCCTGACTCCAGCATCATCCAGGTGCGCAGCTACACTTCATTCACTGATGCTAGCTGTGGAATTTGTCTTTCACTCATTGTTTTACTGGGTTGTTCTGTAATTTCACTGATTCTTTATTACGCAAAGCTGGCGCCCTCTGGGAGGCGAGAGATCTGGTTCAAACACAGGCCAAGAGGTCACAGGCCACAGACCAACTGCACAAGAGGAGAGTAAACAGGAAAATCCAGCATGTAAACATCTCCTGATCTTCTGCATGGAGTTTTTGGCGTTTAGGTTTGGCGAATGGTCAATTCACACATTCAAGAATAACAAGAGTACAGTTTGGACCCTTAACTTTCTGAGGTCGAGGGCGCTCCTGGGCTGCCTGTGTGGAAAGTTTCTGTAATCCTATCGTTAACATGATCGATTGAGTTCTATACATTTGATTTTTTCTGGAAATTAATCCCTAAATCAAACCTTTATGGGATTTATGAGCTTAAAGAAGAAGAAAAAAAACCAGCCTGCTTTTTATGCAAGTCCTGCAAAACTCATGAACAGGTACTGCGGCTGGCAGGGTTCATAAAATCAGGATTTCTGCACGGCTGCATTGCTCTGCAGGAAGAGCAGCTCACTGACTCACAGCAGCAAAGAGTAGATGAACATTTTATTTCTGCTTTTCAACACAGAGGCAGCTGAAACGCTTTGAAGATTTCATCTGAAAGGCCCCGATTCATTTCCTGCGCTGCATTTGTACCGACACGGTGACACGTGCACATGTTCGAGCGCTACAGCTGCTTCTTTCTCCTTCTGTGGAAACAAAAGCACATTCTTTCACATGCAGGCCTAACGCCGTCCAGGTGGATGCTTCCTATTGAGGCACGGCGGACAAAAATGACCAGGACTTTGGCTCCCGAGCTGCCTGCTGAATGTGGAGCTCAGCAGCCAGCTCCTCTGGTCCCGGAGCTCTTACAGTATCTGCTCTACAGTCTGGCTCGGGAGCAGAAGTGTGCACGGACCGACTGTGACAAGGGCTTTAGACAAGCTGGAGATTCTTCCATTTCTCATTATTTGGCAAGGCTGGTGGGTGTTTGGTGGAGGGGTGGGGGCTTTGCTCCATCTCTGCATGATAAGCCCCTCGACGTGTACCCTCTGCAACTAATCTCACACAGTCAACAAATAAGGCACATCAGATGCTGTTTTGGCCGCGGCCATCAGAGCGGCTAAGTTCAGTGGATTTTACGGGTTTTACGTTGCGGGGGCTTGCGAGGGAAGAAGCGTTCTCTGCAGTGGCAGAATGGCAGGCGAAGCAGGGGGATATGGTGCGAGGGCGAAGCAGGTGCAGCACAATACGGTCAAACCCATTCCAGTTCCCCTGTTCCCGGATGAACGGGGCCTGACTTGGCAGGGAGCGCTGCATTGTAACTGGGCCATGTTGGAGAGACGGAGGCCCACCTGTGCCACCCGCAGCGGCAGAACAATAGTCTGAATATGTCAGCACGGAGCGTCGGTGAAGGCTCATCAGACGGACGGCAGCGTGACCGCGGATGGACGGTCGGATTAGTCAGACGGGGAGGTGGAGAGACGAGAGGAGGGGGGAGTGGGTCAGAGAGGGTCATCAAATCCAAATGAAGACTGAGATTAATAAGGTTCATTACAGACACCCCCCGCTGGCTTTCAATTGAAACTAATGGAAACAGCTTGCAATAAATTAATAAATATATTAAATAAACAAAATAAACGCTTTAAGGTTGTGATAATTTTTAACGTACCGTAGAGGTAAAACACCATAAAAATCACAGGATTTACGCACCATTTACTCACAGTTTTGTTCTGCGAGACTCTCAGCACGAGAACAAAAACTTCCAAAGTGGAAGGAATAATAATCTGATCGGGGCCGTCGCCACCTACGCCGCAGCCGTGTTAGGAGGCCTTCGCGGCGTGCGGAGAGGAGCCGCAGAGGTCCACGTTCGTCCAGTCCTCAGACAACATGTTTGTCACTTGGACTGTCGGCTCGTTACTTGAGGCACAGCTCCAGAAGTGAATTGGTGTGCGCGTGTTTGCATGTGTGATTTTGACTCTCATCTCTCGCAGCGTTCACACCCTGAGCAGCTCGAGTCCCCCACAACTCTTTGGAGATCTCTGCTGCACGAGGTTGTGAGACTCTGCAAACTGTTAGTGGCGACTAAACTCTGCGAGATTTTTTTTTCTTGCTATTAAACGAGCCTGCAAATCATAACCAGCAAAGCTTCAGTGAACTAACAGGGAATTTAAGGAGCAGTACTTTTCCTTCTTTTTGTGCTCGAGTCGTGCATTTTCACAACAAATTCGAACCACAGATTGGCTGCCACATGTCTGCGTGAGGTTTAAACTTCACAGCACTCCTGTTTTACATCTCGGTGCCTTTCAGTAATATGAAACTGCAATATTTAAGGTGTCCCTGTCTACTTTTTTATTATTTCAGTGTTTTCATTTACTGCATTTGTATACTGTATGTTTGCATGTGTATATGCATTGACTACTGACATCAACTTGGAGAGGGGATGACTTGAGGTTGTGTAAACTCTTCAAGAAATGTCACATGACCTCAGAAAGCTTTGGCTTTAGCAAACCGGCTTTCATAACTTGTGTGTGTGTGTGTGTGTGTGTGTGTGTGTGTGTGTGTGTGTGTGTGTGTGCACTGCAACTGTTTCCAGAGTCAACTTTCTATTTAAAAGCAATATCTGCACACAATCACTCGGGTCCTCGCGAACTTATTTAGAGTGAACTGTGTCTGCTGTTGACATGAACACAGATGAACCTGGAGTCTGAAGCGTTTGAAATGTTTGTGCATGAAATGCTTTTAGTAAGCCGGCACAGCTGCGGACCCGGCTTTCATTTCACTAAAGAAGCGGAAAATATTATTTTCCGTTCACTGCTGAATACTTTCCTGAATGTGCAGGGTTTTGGGACACGCGCAACAAGGGTGGACTTACACCGTGACAACTTTCTGGGTCCCCCTGTTGGCTGGAATAACACAAACCTGAGCATGCATTCCAGACTTTCTTGCACTAATTAAGCAAATAACTTGTAAACCATCAATGATTTATGAGCTAAAGAAAAACTTGGGTTTGTCAGAACAAGTTTGAAATGTTTTTCCTTCGGCGTTTTTGGGAAATTTCTGGAAATAAACACAGCTGATGGAGATTTAGCTGCTTTCCAAATGTTTGTATTGGCTTGGTGTATTAATTGATTGTATAGTTTGTCACATTTACAATATCAGAAACCAAAAAAAAGGAGATGCACGAAAAGAAGAATCCATTTAGGTTACAGAACGAATCTCCCATCTGGACTGTAGTGTGAAAACACTTGCAAGCATGAGAGTTGTAATCCAGTTGCAAGATGCTTATTTTGCAGTGATAAGCTACAGGCTTTGAAAGATTTTATTACCAGAACAGAGACTTTTTTTCCACATTAGGGCTTTGCAGCGTATACAGTAGCTTAGTTAATCTAGGGCTTACTTAATCCAACAGCAACACTCATCACTCATTATTCCAACACTCGTCTCTGGTTGAGACAAAATGTTAATACCGTATTTTTGCAACTATAAGGCGCACATAAAAGCCTTAGATTTTCTTTAAAAAGTGCGGCGCGCCCTATAGTGCAGTGCCCCTGTGTGTTGTAAGGAGGACGTAGTAGAGAACACCATGAGAACGCTAAAGGGTGAAGTGTGGGCGTTGATCGTATATACCGGACAATCGCACATACCTGTATAAAAGAACAGGTATGTGCATTATGTGGAACATCGTTGTTTTAACAACCCTGAAAATGGCAAAGAGACACGCTTATGAAGCACAGTTTAAACTGAAGGCCATCAGCTACGCGGAGGAACATGGAAATCGAGCAGCCGCGAGAGAATTTAAGATTAATGAATCGATGGTTCGCAAGTGGAGGAAGCTGGAAAACAAGCTCCGACAGGTCAAGAAGACGCAGCTGAGTTTCCGCGGACATAAGGCGAGGTGGCTCGAGTTGGAGGAAAGACTCCAGCGGTGGATCATCGAGCAAAGAACGAGCGGGAGAAGCGTTTCGACGGTCACCATTCGGCTAAAAGCAGTTTCGCTAGCAGAAGAAATGAAAATTGAACATTTCCAAGGAGGTCCGTCTTGGTGCTTTCGTTTTATGAAACGGTGCCATTTTTCCATCCGGACCAGGACTACGGTAGCGCAGCAACTTCCAGCGGATTATAAGGAAAAGCTGGCCATCTTCCGCTCCTACTGCAGCAAACACATCGCCG